ATATTTAAATTTCTTACACCTATTATTCTTTAAAATGGTGTATTACATAGTCAATGAAAAGTAATTTAAAGTGCAGATTAATGAATTCCATTACCTCCTAAAGAATCTAATTAATAACCTCATTCCCCAGACACACCAATCTACAGAACTACATCCTAAAGCTCATAAGCCCCATGGGACAATAAATACAGATTCATGTCAACTGAAATCTTCTGTTCATTCATGTTGATTAGCTGCAATGGTTTCATTTAAACACAAATATAAATATCAATCTTCTCAAATCAGGAGCATAGATGGGCTAGTTTACCATATTGAATTTTATCTGATGGGCTTTTGATTAGCATGGACCAGAACAACACATTCAGGGCACTATCAAATAACAATCCAAATGAGCCTTGTAGAAAAGCTATGCATATTATTTAGTTGGAATAAACTATGAAAGATTCTATAGAGATGTTATGAGGTACTATCAAAATTATTCCATTTGCACAAAAAAAAGTAATTTCAGTAATATAGAATAATTATCTTTTTTGCTTTTTAGCTGCAAAATGGCTGAACAGTACAAGGAAATGTTATAACTTTCTATCAGACAGACAGCATTTGACTTTACCACAAGAATACAGAAGATCACCTAGATATTGAGTAATACCTATTGTAAGGAAAAGGGCACACTTTCTGGAAATTCTTTGAACTTGTAGGCATTCATTAACATAAACAGTTAATTGAATTTTTGTAGTTTTTAAGTCTACCCTTGTGTCACAAGATATCCATTCCATGCTACACCAGGTTACACATCAGAAACAGAAGGACTTTTTACAGGGATAGGTCTTAGAAAGTCAGCATCATGCTAGATAAACTGTTTATAAGGTGAAGTCATTTTTACCACTCACCCCACTGCTGAAAGTTGATTACCAAAGAAAAGATATGACTTTGTTTCCCTCCTATGCCTAAACTACAGGATTTCTGGGATTCTAAGAAGTGTTATAATCACCACTGCCACCTCCCCTACCCGCAAAAAAAGAAAAAGCTACCACCAAAAACCTAAAACCACAGAGCTTTAACAGGAAAGAATGAGGGGTGCTTATTTTAAAAAAAAAAATCCCTTTCATTCCACCACTTGTTCAAACCCACACAAGCAAAGTCACACATACCTATTCTGAGACCACCAACAGAACCTGATCTACTTCCATTCACCAAGAAAACACACTCAGCTTTTGCTGAAGCTGTAACTTCCTTCTCTCATCCCTATTAATCATCCAGCAATGAGCAAGAGGATGTCAGCCAACTCGCTTGGAGCACAGCTGGTTTTCCTAAGAGATGTGCTCCTGCCTCCAGTCACCCAGGAAAGAAAACAGGCAGAGCAAGCTTGGGTCCTGCCCTTGGCACTCCTGCACAGCAACCTGATAACATTTCTGCCATGCCACCAGGTTGATTCAACTGGGAAGACAGACTTTTTAATTATATATGCCCTAAACCCTATATCAATTATTTATGAACCTTGTGAACCATTTCTTATGCATGGTGTCTGCATAGAGAAAGGAAATAATAATAATAAACAGTCCAACTCTACTGAATCCAGCAAAAAAATTATGATAGGTCTTCCAGAATACAACCCACACCAGCCTACACACATACAGATTTTAATATTATTCAGTAAACAGAAAAGGAAAAGGAAATCTTCCACTGCCCTCTCTTGCAAAAAATAAACTTTAGAAAAAAACACACTCCTCTGGGGCATGTTTCCAGTGACAGATTAATGAATTACCTATCTCCTAGAGAAGAAATAAACATGCAAAATTAATTAAATGTTCCAGCATTTAGAACAATTGGAAAAAGGAAAGCAGCAACCAGAGGAGAAAAAGAAATTAACCTTACTTTTGAGATCTCATTGGCAGAGCTTGGAAATGATACATTAAGAATAAGTGTGTTTTTCACAGCATTTATCTACACAGAACATAAGAACTGCCACAACAGAGCAGAATCATCCAACCTCTTTCTGATGGGCAAATTTCAGTGGTTCACAAAATCCACTGCTGTTTTAAGGCACAGCTCTTGCTAAGCTCTTTACCTCTAAAAAAATACTCCCAAAATATAAACTCTACCACATTTCTTTTCCTTCCATTTGATGAGTGTTATCCCAGATAAACCAAGTTAACCCAACTGTGCCAAACCCTTTTGCACTTTCTTACCTCACACTTGCTTCAGCAAGTGCTTGAGCATTTTGCTGTGTAAAGGCCAGACCCACACATACACTTAAACATGTGCCAAAGTGCCAGGTAGAATCCTGGTCTGTAGTTTCTTTCTCGTTCACCATGCTAGCTGTAGTTTTCTTGCACTTTATACTTCCTAGCACAGTGGATTCTCTGATAGTAATGATCCCACTAAACAGAAGCCCACACACTAAACAGGAAAAACTGATAAATAAAATATAAGACTTAATTCCCCATAATTCATGTAATGGAGAAAAGGAAGAATATATCTATAAGCATTTTCATTCTTAAATATGTATTCAGAGAATAGCTCACTAACACTTCCATCCTTATGCCTTATCTCCTACATTCTTTACTAGATCCTCTTCCTATAGACAATGCCCATATTCAACCTAACCCACAAAGTTGATTCTGTTTGGCATTTGGATCTCTAAAAGCAAAAAATTATTTCCTATTACTCCTTTGCTATTCACAGAGATTTTATATGCACACCTCACTGCAATCTTTACTCTGTAAACTCTACAAAGGAGTATAACCTATTTACCAATAAGGTGATACTTGTATTTTCATTTATGCAGATTTTATAATTGAAAAAAATAAAGCACAGCATATCCACAGTTTATTTCACTTGTAAAAGGATGGTAAGAGCTGTGTAAGCCAATTATGTTTTATTTTTCAAATGGTAATATTTTTCAGAACTCCTTTGCATCAGCCACACAATGGAAATGCACTCTCACATGTGCATCCTTCTCATCTCAACTGAACATCCAGCTGGAAAATGCAAATCTTTACCTCCATTTTAAAAGAGCCTCAATTATAAATACAACATCTGTATTTACCTACATACCCTGTATAAACCATTGAAATGGATCACACTATTATTCTACTGTCTCTGCAATAAAGACCATATGTGCCTAATAATTTTGTCTGCCCCAAATTCCCATGCATATCTTACTGCAAAAAACCTGAAATTTATCTAAGACAAGCTGCATCCATCACCAGGTCTCAGCAGAATCTACCCTGCTGTTCACTACTAACTGTAAGTCAAGCTCTTTCTATGTTGTTCAACAACAACAACAACAAAAATTGAATCTCAAAACCATCACAATCCAAATCAAATTTCCCTAATACCTCATGGGTTCTTATTTTAATTTGCCAGACACATTAATTGGCATCCACAGTGCAGCAACATGTTTAATCTATTTTTACAGATTTTAAGATACAGAACATCTTTGACTTACAAATTAGTTTGGGGCTCATGAGTCTGTCTCTCCCTGCCTTTTCCTGACAGCTGATATCAAATGAGACATTCAAATGAACTGTATCAAAACTTGGAGGTCGTTTTCCAAGGGATATCCCTCAACTTGGAAACAATACCCATTCTCCCAGACTCACAGCTTATTGTTCTGTGGAAGCAATAAGGCTTATCTCAACTTTTTTTCTAGAAGCTTGCTTAGATACTGAATGAATGAGACAAGTTATTTGTATTACTTTCTGTGCCTCAGCAAAGTACTGCTAATAGGACCCAGAGATAAGGCACACTGAATTGAAAAATCTGTCTTTGTCTGCAAAACAACAAGGAGGAACTTGCAGCTTTTTGAAAATTTACAGAATCACAGAAAGGTTGAGGTTGGAACAGATCTCTGGAGGTCATCTGGTCCAACTCCCTGCTCAAGCGAGGGCCACCTAGAACAGGCTGTCCAGGACCATGTCCAGGTAGCTTTTGAATATCTCTAAGGATGGAGATTCCACAACTTCTCTGGGCAACTCATGCCAGTGAGCAGTCATCCTTACAGTAAAAACATTTTTCTTGATGTTCAGGGAGAACCTCCTGTGTTTCAGTTTGTGCCCATTGCCTCTTGACCTGTCACTGAGCACTGCTGAAAAGAGCCTGGCTCAGTCTTCTTTAGAACCTTGAGATATCTACAGATACTGATCAAATCACACCTGAGCCTTCTCTTCCTCAGGCTAAACAGACCAAGCCCTCTCAGCCTTTCGTCATAGGAAGAATGCTCCTTAATAATCTTCATCACCCTTCAGTGAACTCTCTCCAGTAGCTCCAACTCTCTCTTGTACCAGAGAGCCCAGAACTGCACATAACACTCCAGGTGTGGCCTCACCAATGCTTAGTAGAGAGTAAGGATCACCTCCTTTGACTCACTGGCAACACTCCTAATGCAGACAAGAATGCCATTAGCCTTCTTTGCCTTGCCACAAGTGCACTGTGCTGGCTCATGGTTAACTGAGTGTCTGTCAGGACCTCAAAGTCCTTTTCTACAAAGCTGAAGTTTGCTGAAGATGGGGTGTCCATCTTCAATGCAGCTGCAGCCAATGTCATGCCACTCCTCTGAGGGACTAGTTTCCTGTTTCTATCAGCTCTATTTGGAGTTATGGCCGAGATACCAGCTCTATTTGTAGACCTGGTTTATGGCTGAGTTTGTTCACAGTATGTTTTTCATTAAAAACAAAGGATGGAAAGCTCTCATCTCAACTGTTTCCGGGGATGGTGCCTGGCACTTAACTGCAGACCTGCCTGTTGCTATGGATTTGTGTGGCAAGCTGGACTCTTGGCTGAACCTGGTCACCATCATCAGACATCCCCTGTTCACTTTACGCAGGTACTGTGGAACTGATGAGGGCACTGCCCTACACCTGCCATGCTGTCTGCCTGAGTATCTGCTTCCCATTTATCACTGGATTTTACTGCCCCATTTCCTGGTTGAATGACACACAGGGTAACAGAAAAAAAAGCTATGGAACTCTGAAAGTAGAAAAAAGCCAGATACTCACACAGTGAAGGAATCGGGGGGAGCTGAGACTCTCCTCAGGTCAGCAGACTGCACTTTATGGATACTATAGGTAGCAGGAAATGAGTGGCCAGGAAAAAGGCAGCACATAGTATGGACGGACAAGGAAAAGGGCAGGGGAGGGAGAGAGTGGAAGAGAAGAAAGACAGACATACAACATTTAAACAGAAACAAAAGGAATGTGTCACAAAAATTGAATGAAGAGACATGCAGAGCTCCAAGTTCACACTAGGAAGCCAAGAGCAACAGGAGACATGCAAACAGATAAATTCACTGCTACATGGCACACAGGAGCTTTCTAAAGACATGAGTGAGGAGGACCAAAGGCAAGGTAGGCACACAGCTATACAAGAAAGATGAAGAGCCCCAGGATTTGTTCCACAGGCACTGAAAAATTTCATGGCAGCAGACGTTGGAAGCGGGTCCAGAAATGCAAACATACATCAAAGCCAAGATCTGAATGGATGGAATTGTCTCCAAAGATTGGTCAGCTTATTTTATATATAATGACTCCCAAGACTGCTTCCCTTTTAGTGTTTATACTCAGATGGTCCCTTTGTTTCTCTAAAGTGTATGGAATATGTTTTTCTATAAGCTCTTCCCTCTTCTTTCTCTTCCATCATGTAGGACATTCCTCCTCAACCCAAATTCAAAGCCAGTGAAAGCAAAATACTGTCTTTTGAGCTTCAGAAAGTGATCATTAACTGAAACTTCATGAGCAGCATACTAAACTGTAGTTCATAATCAGAAAATGAGTCCTGAAAAATTGAACTACAGCTTCTCTTATTCCACACATTTTGCTTATAGCTCACAAGATCCACATTCTTGGCTTGATCACAGAAAACCAAGCAATATATTGTCTCTTTCCCATGTTAACCATGATCAATAATGGAGAATAAGAACGAGAACTTAGCCAGCAAGGGCTAAGGGAAGGAGAATAAGAACACAATTCATTCTTTTGCAGAAAAACTGAGTCTGTTCACCTGGATGTAGGAAAAATTCGGTTTTGCTGGTACCAAAAGAAAAGACATATGAGAAGAAACCCACCTTTTTTCCCCTCACAACTCCACTGTCTTGTTTCAGTCCATAACTAACTGAGAACAGCATCACCTTAACCTGCGTATTCCTTGCACCTAAAAAGTTGCTTCAGGCTTGAAACTTCTTATTGGACTGTTATGTATTTCCATTGTAGAGCAATGCACTGTAGGATGAAGAAAAGACTATCCCCACCTTTTATGTTTGAACAGCCCCCATTAGAAACAAATTAGAAGCACTGTAACTGTATTGCCCAAGTAATGACTTCCCTTCACTATGCTTCACCTCAAAATTTTAAAGTTATCAGAAGAGTACAAACTATAAACAGGTCATCCTCATCTACTCAAGAGTACTCATACAACCTGTATGTCACATCAAAACAGCTTAACTTTACAAAAGGAAATATTTAAAAAATGAATGCTTGGTGAACAACAAGAAGAAAGATCACTAGTTGCAGCAACTGGTCCATTAATAGTTAGTAACAATAAACATACTGAGAAACTAGTTTGTAAGCAAATCAGCAGTGAAAGACAAACTAACTGAATAAAATATTAATCACAAGTAATTCACCCAGCTGTGACAAAACACAGCACATTATATTTATTTGTTCTCTAATAGCTTGGATGAAGCTTTTCACACTGCTGCTATCAACAGGGAAGGGAGGCTCCTTCAGTTTAAGTAGCCCCACAGAAACACTAGATTTTTATTCCTTAATTTGATTCCTTGACCAATTTTTTTTTTTTTTTTAAGACTAGAAAATACTAGGAACTTTATACTGTCAAAAATGCTGCTGAATTTTTCCCCACACCTTGAAAAAGGTAAATTAATCAGTAACAAATAAAACAAGAAGAACTTTCAACATAGAGGAGTCTCAACCTTGAAAGCCTGTGTAGAACCACATGAGGTAGTTTCTGTGCAATTAGAAGGTGCTAGAAGCACAATAGTGGGAAAACTGAGGGAAAAATAGGTCAAACAAGGTCAGATTCCCTTTTCTTGTACACAAGTGTCCTCTCAGAACATATACAGGTTTTGAAGGAGAACAGTTGCAATTAGAAAGACGGGCAACTCTTACAGTCAGAAGAGTTTCTAAACTCCTCCTGCTCTCAAGTGAGAAAAGCATGAAATCTCTGTTCTTCTCACTCAGCTACATTATATATGGGCTCTTCAATTTTAAAATACTATTATTCCCTGGAAACTCAAGTGGATCCAAAAGGCAAACAACAAACTCACTATCCTCTCCCCCTCTCCTTAAATCTTCCAGAACGAAGAAGAACAGAGTAAGAAAACAGAAACACAGTGTAAGACTTCTTCAAATTAAGTCTTTTTCTACTTATGACACTGGACTAGCTAAAGCTCCAAAGAGCATTCCTACTGCTCTCCTTATCTAGCAATAATATCAAAGCTGACAATAATAGCAACTCTGTGTTACTGTGATGCAAGATAATTTTTTAATCAGTCTCCTGGCAAGGAGCTCAACAGCTGTCGAACAATTAGTGGGATAGCTCCAGACCCACTTATCTCACACATCTAACATTCAGATGACAGTCGTAAGAAAAATCTATTGGGTTCAATCAAATATAAGGCTTTCTGGGAGATTTCAATGCAACAGGGAGACACATTTGCGATATCAAGTTAAGAAATGTAGATAAACATATTTAATTGAAAATTTTCTCTCTTGTGAAATACTGCAAATTACTAACATTACATGAACTTCTTACAATAATAAATGCTTCCTAGACTTTAACCTTTAACATGCCATTTACTTTTCAACACACCAGGAGATTCAACTCTTCTCTCTCATTCCCCTTCAACACTTGAGAGCAAAGTACATACACACAGATATATAGGTATAGATGGAGATACAAATATATACACACACCATTTCTGATACATGGTGTTGAGACTAGAGTCCCTGACAAATCATTTGTATTTTCACAAGACACAGATCTGTAGGCAAATATCTCAGTCAAATCAAAGGACTGACAGCAACGTAGTCTACCATAGCATATTGAAATCAAGCTAAACCACAAACAAGATGATCTTGACAACTGGCATATATTATGAATCTGTAATTCCCCATCACAATTTAAATTCAGATCTCAAAATCCAAGACTAACCATGCTAATTATCAGATCAAAATACAAGAAATTTTCATTCTGCATTTGCATTAGCCTCCCTCAGTGTAGAAAGAGATGCTACAGGATTGCTCTCTGCTCAATTCTGGCTTTTGCAAATGACTGAGTTGTGGTTGGATAAAATTGGGCATTGCTGCCCAGAGGCAAGGGTCTGCTTTTCTTCACTGCTCAAGAGAGATGAGTATACCTTATGTATTTTCCAGGCAAACAGGAATTGCACATTACAGATATGGGCTTCTACTGAAGCTTAAAGCATTAGTCTCAGTAAGAAAACAGAGAGTACTAAATTGAACAGGAAGATGTTGAAAGTAACCAGGGAGGCTTTTATTATGTGAACAGATTGACAACCAGAGGGTGACAAGAAGTTCTAAATGTCTGAAGTCAAAGTTTGAAGTGAAGCAATATCTTCCACTAGATGATACAGTTGAAAGACACAAACAACCTTTAAGATACCTGAAGAGAAAAGGTGTGCCTGAGAGCTTGTCTATTTTTTCCAGTTATATGAGTTAGTCTAACAAGAGATATTACATCTCTCCATAAACCTGGCCTCACCATTACAGCTGCAACAGAAAAATCCCCACTCATCTCCTCACAGAAATGAAATCCTTGGTGCATGGATGTTTGAATGAAATGTGGACCCTTGAAAACTTTAGGCCTTTATCTCAGTATCTTTGTATAAGTGACAGACTGTTTTGCTCCACTTTGCAAATACTTGATGAAAAACTACAAAGCACTTCCTACATCACTCATTTCGTAGTGATGAAGGCCCTCCTTCTATATGAGAAGTACAATAATCAGTTCTACAAAATAAACTAAATTACTTTATTGGACAGGCATTTTTACAGGTCAAAATATGGAATTTTTTTGGTGTTAAAGTATCTTTGCAATGCTTACAAATAAGGTTTAATTAGGAAAATTAATATTTCTTCTTTGCATGTTCCTGGTTTCCATTTCTCTTAGCCTTTCTCTATTAATTTTTAAACTACTCATTTTTCATTTGGGTTTTTATACTGGAGCAGGATTCTCTACAAAAGTCACACAGCCCTTTCTGAATCTCCAGGTTCTTCTCCATAAACAGTCCCAGGCAGTATGCTTCCACAACAGAGACTACAAGATGTCCTGAGTAATTTTTGATTATGGCAATTTGTTACAGGATTGCCAATGCAGCTCAAAAAGCAGATCAATAAAGCTGAGAAAATGAATCAAAAGGACTTCAAAGGCAAATGGCATACATATGCAAAACTGTCAGAAGCTAAGAGGTCCAATGCTGAGCCTGCACAAACCTCTCCAAATAACTGAAAGATACAACACCTTTCTAAAAGCAAAGCAGAGGGTAACCCAGAAGATAAAGAATCAAAGAAAATCAGGTAAGTATTTACAATACAATGGAAAGGGAGTTCAGAAAGTGTGATTTTTTTTTTTTTTTTTTAAATGCGCTGCAAGTCCAGTACATGCAAAATCTGTGACTGAATATGCTGCCCCAAACAGGCCTCCTGCCATTAGGACATGCACATATCCAACTCACTCATTCAGCAAAGGCATGGATGTTCTCCTCTTGCTCTTCTGCACCATGTTGGCTTGGTTCCTTAAGGAGATTCGAATGAGTGAGGGAGCTAGTCGACATGGTTCACCATCCACTTGCATGGGAATGGACTTGTATGTTAAAAGTGTCACCTCACGGCACTGATGCAACCTCTCTCCATGACCACCCACCTGGAGAGCAGCCTGGACAGGGAAAAAAACACAAACGAAAAACCCCCAAAAAAGCCACACATAACAAACCACCACACAAGCAAAAAACACACACAAAAAAAAACCAACAGCAAAGACAAAGAAAAGACACCTCAGAACAGACAGTTGAGGCAGTTAAATCTGAAATGCAGTTTTTCTGACAGCATCCATTACAGAGTATTCCACATGTAAGGCATTCTAACAAGTCATAATTAATGTATTTTCACTCCAAAACTGTAAAACAGGACTTAAAATTTCACAAATAAAAGTAGTGGGCAACAAGAAGCTATCTAATCCTATGCATTGCACATCTCATCACCTCGGTAGACGTCAAGCATATTACACACATACAAATACGTATACAAACACATGGGCGTGCACAAAAGAATACCCGTGTTTATTCTTAAAGTTTTCAGTTTTTTTGGTTGGTTTGTTTTTACACTAACAGTAATGCTACTAATTATTTGCTCATTAAAACAACAATCCTAATTGGGTACATCTGTGAGACAGAAAAAATATTTCCCCTTCCACAACAGAATACAGTCCTTAATGTGAATTAGACAAATCTAAAAGCCTTATTATGAAAGTTTACACAGCAACTCTACCTCGAGACTAGACAGGCTGAAAAGAGCAAGCAGAAGGGCCTTGTTATTAAAAAAAAAATAAATATCATGTTCAAAAATTCAATTTAAAGAAATTAAGCAGGGAGGGAAATGAACAAATCTTCAAGTTCCAAACTGGTATGTTTGGGTAGAAATGTATTTTTTTTCATTTGCAGCGTGACTATTAACTTTCATCTATAAAATGCAGAAAAAAAAATCCCATATTAATGCACTACTAACAGAAAGCAGCCCAAACACAAGTCAAGACCTTAATCCTGCTTTGTGCACTTAATATTATGGATCAACTGATAATATGGTCAATAATATTCATAATAACACTTCTTATAAAGCACTTTTCCTTGGTCTCACAGACCTTCTTGGGTATGACCAAGCACATCTGGGATACATATAGAGCAAGTTCAGATTATATCAGTATAGTCTAGGGTTACAATGGTTCCCTCAAGCATCACAACCAATATAGACTCGTAGATGCTCAGTTCTGAACTAGGATTCCTTTAAAGAGAAACAGCAGCTTAAAGGGCCCTACTAGTTAAATTCAGTCTCAACTGAAATTGTTGGTAGCGCTGAGATCACTCTAGCTACTGCATGTATCTACAGATACATTAGTGGCAAACCCAAAAAAGCTTCCAGTTGAAAATTGCCAGTTGGTACATGCTAAATAGACTTTTGACAGCATTTTCAGAAACGTGCCCCGAAATCTTCAGAGGTGATGTAAAAATGTTCATTCCACAAGTTCTACTAGGCTAATGAATAGAATTCTGCTTACTTGTAGGTTATTTCCCTAATCCACCAGATTATTTAAAAAAAAAAAAAGGGGAGAAAGAGAGAGACAGACACCAAAAAAGAATCCGTAACCCAGACTGCTGATCAAGATGATCTTTTACTTTTGCTTACTTAGAAGATTAGATTTGTCTGAATTTCTCTTTGAGGAAGCAAACATCATGATCATGGGTATTCACTGAATGTGATATGCACTGAGGGCAGGTCATACAATAAATGTGGGAATTTAGTGAAAACGGACTTATCCATGTTAACTTTAACCTAGTCCACACAAGACATAGCAGTAACAAAGGCCTAAGACTATGGACTTAAGCACAACCTAAACAAATCTGCCAGGGAGCTCTGATATGTGCTGTCTATTGGCCACACTAAATTCAAGCTGCAGTGCCTTAGGTAGATTAGCACTAGCATATGGATAACTATCAACTCTCTGATGGCATTTAATCATCCTCTGAAGAGACTGTCACTGTGTTTAACCACTGCGATAGCAGGACACTAGGGTAGTTACAGTGAGATTGCTTTTATAATAACAGCTTTAGTTCACTTTAAGGACAGCATTGATAGAAAGTGCACTGAC